TAAAAATGCTTCAATGAGGAATTTGGCGAGATTGAGGCTTGCATTTCCATGAGATCTAGTGAGCCACCATAGAAGTTTTAAGTCCAATGTAGTTACCTGGACGGCCTCACTCTTAGGTCAAAATAACTGAAGGATAAATCGATGTAGCATGCGAAGAGCTGGACAACCAATAGAACTAGATTTGCTAACACCGGACTCCCAATTTGTTGGACCTGTTATTTGTTTCCAAAAAGTGCTCGAGTTAAAGATAGAGTAGCTTGGATTTCCCTTGAATATCATATACTCTTTTGGACCCATGACACCTTTATTCGGCCATCCAAAAGCCGTATTCACATCATCCCACGACATTATCCGTTCATCTCCATCTAAAGAAAATACCACATCTCCCTTACTTGATTTAACATCAAGTGAGTCAAGAAATTCAATGACAAGTGATGGACATATATCATTATCAATACGAAGGACCTCACTCCACCCATGTGTTCTTACAATGCTATCAAACAACCAGTCGAACCCAAGGTTTTTAGCGTCTGAGAGAGAAGTAAAGAGTGTGTCCCACGGTTTGATCTTTAAGCTTCTTTGCACATTGTTTTTGAGACTTGGTTAACCAAGAAAGTGGAGTTGATGGTGATGGAGGAAGAGGTTGGACTCTAGATGGTGTTTTAGGTGTGGAGGTTTTAGAGGTTGGATTTGATTATGTAGGTCATTTTGTGGTTTTGGTGGGTGGTTTTTTTTTGTGATTTTTTTAGAGTATGTGTTGGGGTCATAGAGTGGCTTGGGTGCCTAAGAGGTTTGTGTTCTTGTCTTCATGGGGAACGTGATGAGAAGTTTAATCAACAAAGAATCACAAACTAATGAACAAGAATATTTCAAAGCCAAATATGTGTCACCCAAAATAATTCGCAATCAATCCACACAAAGAAAGTACACAAAATCAACACTACCACACCAAGTTGTGAAAATAGATAATAAAAAGGTTAAAACTCAAGAATAAACACAATTGTAGAATAATAAGAGATGAAAATTTTGAAATTTATACCTCTACAATGAGAATTGTGCATTAAAAATATGTCAAACCTCTTATAATAGTCCAATGATACCTCCAAAATTTTCAATTTCATGTCACTCACCTTTAATTGCAAAATCCCAATTCAATTTGAAAAGTTAGGGTTATTGAAATTTAAAGGAAGAGAAAGGTTATGGTGAGAGATGGTGATAGGAGAGAGAAAGGGTGGTGGGTGGTGGTCGTCGGTAGGGTAGGGCGACGGTGGTGGGTGCGGTTGTGGTGAAGGTGGCAAAGGGAGAGGAGAGAGAGAAGAGAGAGGTGGAGAAAAAAAAACTTACGTCCTTTTTTTTCTGTTTGTTTTAATGGCCTGCTTTGCAAAAACCCGTGGCCGCAGGCTGGCCTGCGAGCTGACAATGGTTGCGGAGGGGGTTGGGAAGCGCGGCACAGGGCCGTAGAGTGGGCTTCGGTTTTTGCTATTGCAGTAATTTTTTTAAGGAATACCTTCACTAAAAAAATGAAAGGAACAAAAATTGTTAATAATGTTGGTGAGTAAAAGCAAAAATATAAATTAACTATAAGAAAAATAAAAAGAAATAAGAAATCAGGTTACCTCCCGATAATTGCTTTTTTAAAGTCATGAGCTTGACTTCTTACCTCTATTTCAACCATCATTATTTGGGTCGGAGAGATAAATCATCTCTAATCTACCAATGAAATCACCTACGGTGTAGAGTTTCAAACGTTATCCGTTCACCATAAATTTGGAACCATTTTCAATAGCAACTTTAATAGCTCCATGATCTTTAACCTTAGTAATGGTGAAAGGTCCGGACCATCTAGACCAAAGCTTTACAGGGAAGAGCCGAAGTCTTGAGTTATAAAGCAACACCTTGTCGCCAACCTTGAACTCTCGTTTTTGGATCATCTTATCATGAAACTTCTTCGTTTGCTCTTTGTAGAGCCTATGGTTCTCATACGCATCGAGCTGAAACTCATCTAGCTCATTCAATTGAAGAAGTCTCGCTTCACCTGCCTTCTCTAGATAATTAATCTTTTGATGGCCCATTGTTAAAGATATTAAATTTCGACCGGTAAATGACAAGCTTTTCCATACAGAAACCGATACGGAGTTATCCCTAACGGAGTCTTGTAAGCCGTTCGCAATGCCCACAATGTATCATCCAACTTCAATGACCAATATTTCCAAGACTTGTTGACAACCTTTTCAAGGATTCTTTTAATTTGTCGATTAGATACCTCAACTTGGCCGCTCGTTTGAGGATGATAAGCCAAGCCAACCTTGTCAGTAACTCCATGTTTCTTAACAAGAGCCTTAAAAGTTCGTTGATGGAAATGAGAACCACCATCACTAATAACAACTCTTTGGACTCCGAAGCGCGGAAAGATGATCTTTTTAAATAGCTTCATAACAGTCTTCGAATCATTAGTAGGCGACGCAATAGCTTCGATCCACTTGGTGACATATTCGACGGCAACCAAAATGTACCGATTTCCATAAGAAGAGGGAAATGGTCCCATAAAATCAATGCCCCATACATCAAAAGGCTTGACCTCAAGATTCCCATTTAGCGGAATCTCTTGCCTCTTGATATATTTCTTGTTCTTTGACACTCATCACAAGCATTGCAAATGGCACGGGCATCCTTGAATAATGAGGGCCAATAGAAACCACATTGAAGCACTCGGTAGGAAGTTGTAGTAGAACCAAGATGTCTGATAGAGGGTAGATTATGGAAATGGTTAAGGATACCATGAGTATCCCAATCTGCTACACATCTCCGAACATTCCATCAGCACACTTACGATACAAATAAGGGTCGTCACAAAATATCGCTTAGCATCATGGTAGAACTTCTTGCTTTGTTGGTACGGAAAATCCGGAGGATGTGAACCAGCTACACAAAAATTAGAATAGTATGCATACCATGGAGATACAGAAGAAATAGAGAATAAATGATCATAAGGAAATAGTCATTTATAGGGCTATCCGAGGTAGACTGAAATATTAATCGAGAGAGATGATCTGCAACAACTTTCTCTGAGCCCTTTTTTATCTCGAATCTCTAAATCAAACTATTGGAGGAAAAAATTCAATCGAATTAGCCTTGGTTTAGCCTCTTTCTTTGCTAGGAGATACTTCAAAGCTGCATAGTCAATGTGGACGATCACTTTCGAACCAATGAGGTAAGTTCGGAACTTGTTAAGAGCATACACAATAGCTGGGAGCTCTTTCTTTGTGGTGGCATAATTCAACTAAGCCTCATCCTAGGTTTTAATAGCATAGTAAATGGCATGCAAAACATTGTTCTTTCTTTGTCTAGGCACGACTCCCACAGCATAGTCACTCGCATCACACATAATCTCGAATGGAAAATCCAAATCCGGAGGTTGTATTATTGGAGCAGTTATCAATGCCTCCTTAATCATGTTAAAAGACTCCATACAAGCATTAGTAAACTCAAATGTGTCATCGTTAAGCAATAATTGAGTGAAGGGTTTTGCTATTTAAAAAAAAATCTTTTATAAATCGGCGATAAAACCCTCTATGACCAAGAAAACTTATCACTCCCTTGATATTCACGGGCGGGGGATGTTTCTCAATCACCTCAATTTTTATTTTGTCAACTTGGATGCCATGAAAAAAAATAAGATGAGCAAGTACCACTCCTTCATTTACCATGATGTGGCACTTTTCCCAATTCAAGACCAAATTGACGTATGTACAACGTTTAAGCACCTTAGAAAGAGTATGCAAGCACATATCAAAGTCAGAACCATAAACAATGAAATCATCCATAAATACCTGTATGATGTTCTCAATGAAGTCAGAGAAAATGGCCAATAATACACCTTTGAAATGTCGCAGGGGCGTTACACAACCCAAATGTCATTCTGCGATAAGCAAATGTACCATAGGGGCATGTGAACGTTGTCTTCTCCTGATATTTCGGATGAATGGGAATTTGAAAGAAACCTGAATATCCATCTAAATAACAGAAAAACCTATGTTTTGCTAATGTTTCAAGCATTTGATCTATAAAAGTTAAGGGGAAGTGATCTTTCAAGGTGGTCGTATTCAACTTGCGATAATCGATACACATACGCCAACCTGTGACAACACGAGTAGGAATTAGTTCATTCTTATAATTTTTAACAACAGTTGTCCCCCCTTTCTTAGGAACGACTTGTACCAGGCTCACCTACTTAGAATCTGAGATGAGGTAGATGATGCCCGCGTCAAGTAGTTTCATTACCTCTTTCTTCACCACCTCTTGCATATTAGGATTTTCAATTGACGTTGTGGTAGGATGCAAGGGCGATGATTCTCTTCCAAATTTATTTTATGCATACAAAAATTAGGACTTATCCCTGTAAGACTGTCAATGTTATACCCGATTGCCTTTTTATGCATGCGAAGCATAATACAAAGCTTAGAAACTTGGCTATCATCGAGTTTTAGCACTAACAATTATAGGGCATTCCTCATTATCATCAAGAAATTCGTATTTAAGATGAGAAGGCAAAGGTTTTAACTCTACCATTTTTACTTGTGACTCAGAAGTAGAACAAATAGTTTCCATTACCTCAAACCCTCAGTGTTAGGGGCATCTGTTTAGGGTAAAAATACCCTAGACACGTGGACCAATGAGAGGAGGCCACGTGTCGAACTCGGAATGGCCTATGTGGCTTAATATCCTCTTGACACTTGGCGCCCTCAGATACATCTCTGAAATGGCGGCCTTCAAGGGCCTAAATCCCTAGAAGCGCTGTTTTGCGGCGCAGCCCAATGAAATTTAGGCCAAGTGACCTAGATAAGGGCACGTTCTCCAAGGACCCTATAAATAGGGAGATATTTCCCCATTTTGGGGACACATTCAATCATTTATTACACCTACATTCTCTCACATCAGAGAAATACCTGAGCTTGAAATCCAAGCAGATCCCCACCTAAATTTTCGTACTCTTTATTCCCTTTCAAGTTACTAACTTGACCGTCAGAGGCGGAGCTCCAACCTCCCGGAGTCTCCGTTGTTTTGCAGGTACAACTCAGCCGGATAAGACTTCGTGACGTAACTCTCCCGAGGGAAAAAAACACCCAAAAAATTTGGCGCCGTCTGTGGGGAGAGTACCTCGAAGATGGTTCAAGAGTCTGTACCGGCCCCTAACCGTCTGGGCGATGACCCAGAAGTCTTTACAGACCAGGAGGATAAATATCCTCAGGTCGAAACCTTTACAGCCGATGATGGCTCTCTCAGAACCAAGCTCATCAGGCCCAGAGACACTCTGGAGCAGGTGCCTCCCAGGCGGGTGCAAATCGACCTCTTGGGCAGCCGGAAGGGGAAACCCATACGGCGGCTGGATCAGCACCTGTCACCCGAGATGAACTCATGAGATTCATGACAAGTTTCAAGGGTGAAATTAAAGAGTTGATCACCCAGAGCTGGGCTGGCCCAAGTAGAGGTCAGTCGGCCAAGAAGACTCCTCTGGAAAAGGGGAAGTCAGTCAGAGAATGGCAGCATACTCCTCATCCAAAGGAGAAGGCAGCCGAGACCATTAATTAGTAAAAAATTCTTCTTCCTAAGAGGAATACCAACAACACCCGCCGAACTCAGCTGCCGATGGGAAGTAAAAAATCAACTCTTGATGCCCGGGAGATTATCAACCGGAAGAGAAATCAACAGTTGTCTAAATCGGCTTCTACGTCAAATTTTGCAGACATCTTTAACAATAATTCTGCAGGGAATGCACTTTCCTTGCATGAGAGTCAGACAGCGGTAATACCGTCCACTCTGGCCCTCAGATGATCGGGACTGCACCATATGTACCTTCTCAGGTCTACAGTCAGTACCCACCTTACTATATGTAGTCGGCTCTCTTCGGAGGTCAGGCGACATACCACAATGTCAAGCCATTGGACTGGCATTTTCGTCTCTGGGTGAACAACCTTCTGCGTTCACAAAGGAGATAATCGAGGCGGCTCAGCCGGCCAAGGTTAAGAATGTATTGGTTGGTACCTATGATGGTACCACCAATCCGGAAGATCACCTCATGGCATAAACCAACCTCATGTACTTACAAGGGTTGGATGATTTCACTTGGTGTCGATGCTTCCCGGCTACATTGAAGGGAATTGCCCAACAATGGTTTGGAAATTTGCCAGCCGGGTCCATTGATAATTTTAGGAAGCTTGCCTTCCTGTTTTCTTCCAACTTCTCAATGAATATCCCTGCTAAAAAAACAAGCTTGGACTTGAGCACCATTAAGCAGGGGGAGAGAGAAGGGTTGCGCTCCTATATCAGGCGATTCAATCTGATTAGAATTCAGATTCAAGGAATGTCTGATGAGGTAGCTTTTACAGACTTTTTCAAAGGTCTGAGAGATGGGTCGACTTTTAAGTTCGACCTATTCAGAAAAGGGGCTTTCACTTTACCGGCGGCCTTGAGGGAGGCGGAAAGCTATATTCAAGCAACCGACCTCTGCACGCCTGGTAATCAGTCAGACTCCAAAAAGTCTGACAAACAGAAAGATAGCTGGCCTGCTCAGCCGGCCAAAAAGAAAGAAGAGAGCAAGAAGAAAGAATTTAAACCGTACGTCCCTAAGTACGAGTTTAACAAGGACTGCAACTCCATCCTCATGGAAATTAAGGACCGGCTGTCCCTAGAGAAGCCGAATCCAATGAAAAGTTCCATTCAATCAAGGAACAAAAATAAATTTTTCCAATACCATGAGGAAGTTGGCCATGACACCAACGACTGCTTCAGCATTCAACGGGCGTTGGACCGTCTGGCTGACAAGGGGATGCTGAAGTCCTACATTTCTAAGTCCCCAGCCGGGGCAAAGAAGAAGAACAAGGGTCAGTCTTCTAAGACTACCCCCCAGCCTGCTAGTAGCTCGGATACCGAAAGGAGCCGGCCTACACAATAGCAGGAGGGTTCTCATGTGGTGGCCCTACCATCCGGAGCACCAAAAGTCATCTTCAAAAGATGGAAAAAGATGATGATGGACAGGCGTCTGCAAGCTCCTCCTTCCCAGACGTTCTGATCA